ATGCTAATTGACATGCAAAACAGAATGAAAATTTACAATGAATAACGTGACAAAAACAGACATTTCTGACCAGTGGTCCAATGAGGCTGATTACACTTTTGATGCTGGTATCCTTAGTCCTACAAGGCCTCCAGTGGGGTTGCCTTCAGCAGTCTTCCCTAACACTTGGTTAACAAATTCTGAGGTTTGCCCAGCGACTGGGAGACCAAGTGTGTCGCACAAAGACTTCTTAACTGCTGAGCCATCTCTCGAGGCACAGACACCAACTGGAAGTAATATGTCAAAAAGTTCACAGCACAGGGTGTAAGGAGAAAGGCCCATCACAACCGGAAAGATGCAAATTACAAGGGAATGCTTATGGTGACTTGCACTCAACACCAGAAAACCACGGATTCCGTGCAGGGTCTACTAATTTGTTCAATGGATAATTTAGATTTAAGGACAATATTGCAAGCACAAACAGCAGGGTAATCATGCCTTCCAATGATAATGAGAATTTAAGAAAATACTTACCCACTTTATAAACCTAGTATCCAGGAATGCCTCCTCTTGCTTCTTTGGGTTGTCTGGGATCTAGGAACTTCTTAGAACATGGTGTTTATTTAATAGAGTGCATCTCTCTGCGCCTGAAGCAGTCCTACTGAAGTCACAGTTAGTCAGGTCCACTTCACTTCAATGCTCCCGAGATTAGCTCATTGAAAAGGTATAAAGCCTTTGCTTCTTTTCCTAACAAAACAATGGAACAGAGTCCCCAATAGTGGAATCTTTATTTAAGAAATGAAGCAACTTGGGATGCAGGACATGCAAACACGAGCTAGAGGGGAAGCTGCTCACATGCCCAGGAAACAACAAAAGGCTGGCAGCTTTATCAGGACAGAGGGAGAGACACAGACGTCATGAAGAAAGCACATTGGCACTCTTGGTGCTGAGGAGGCAGCAGGGTAACTGGAGAGCAGCAGCGATTCCTAAGGAAATCAGGTCTTAAGTCAGCAGTCGTCTGGCAGGGAAACTAGTCTTAAAGAACAAAGCATGCTTTCTCTGTATGGGCCCAGCAGAGTTCCTGCAACAGATGTAGCCTGGGAAATTTCTGTTTGTTTGTAATGATTTGTTTTTATGTGAGTGTGTGTGTGAATACACACTCCACATATGTGTCAGTTCCCAGAGTCCAGAAGACCGTATCTGATCTCTCGGAGCTGTTGTTACACGTGCTCGAGAGCCACCCCTCAAGGTGGTGTTAAGAACCAAACTTGGGTCCTTTCAAGAGCAGGAAGTAATCTTAACTGGCAACCCATCTCTCCAGCTCCACTTTTTTCTAGGTGCCTTGTATTGATGTCACTGCTTTAGGAGATGCAGGTGTTAAGATAACACAGACTCTGAAAGATAACATTTGAGTGTTCTTTATCATTTGAAGACCTAGCCTATGCTTATATGCATGCACATAGCTGGGTGTGAGTGTACGTGTAATCTATGAAACTAGAAAGGGAACCATTCTGGGATTAAAGTTGTGCTCCACCACCGGCAGGCAGCAGTTGTAAATTTATCTTTATCACTTTGTACTAGGATTCTCCCTGGCTCAGTACTAACTACCCTGCTGTTATTCTCTAATTTACTCAGATTTTTACCTTAGCCCACAAAACCTGTACACCATTCAGTACTTCATGGGTTAAAGCAGACTAACACTAAACACAGCTCCTTTTCCAAATATTGCTTCTTCCAGGATGTGAAATCAACTTGGGTACTCATCAGTTATGAACAGATAAAAGAAAATGTAGCATATACACAATGGAATAATCTTCAGCCACTAAAAACATTGAAATTCACAGGGGCTGGAGGGATGGCACTGTCTGCTCTTTCAAAGGACCTAGGTTTGATTCCCAGCACCTACCTGGTGGCTCACAATCATCTGTAACTCTAGATCCAGATGCTCTCTCCTGGTGGCTCACAATCATCCGTAACTCTAGATCCAGATGTTCTCTCCTGGTGGCTCACAATCATCTGTAACTCTAGATCCAGATGCTCTCACCTGGTGGCTCACAATCATCTGTAACTCTAGATCCAGATGCTCTCTCCTGGCCTCTAAAGATTCCACATGCACGTGGTGCACACACAATATAGGCAGGTAAAACATCCATACACATAAAAATATATCATAAAAATTACGAAACATGGAAATCTTACATTGCATGGTAATACCGTTGGGGCTGGGGACAGGGTGGGAGAGGAGCAGCTCATGCCCTCACTCACCTATAGATGCTCAGTCAGTTGATCTGAGAGCGCAGAACTGAGGTCATCAGAGGCAGGAGAGGGCAGAGAGAGGTTGGTGATGAGGTAAAACATATGGACAGAAGGCAAAAGCACTGGTGTGCTATGTATGTCACGACCAGTCAGCAATGTCATATTATAGACTTCAGAACAGGGTTTAGAATGTACCCCAAACAAAGAAACTATAGATGCTGGGGAAAGTAGCTATGCTGATTACTCTGATCTGCTCAGTGTGTGTGTGTGTGTGTGTGTGTGTGTGTGTGTGTGTGTGTGTGTGGTGTGTGTGTGTTGAAACAGTACCATAGCTCATAAATGCATGTAATTATTGTGGTCCAGATAAGGATAATTAAAAGTTCTTAAATATCACTGCATAAGATGCCATCCTAAACAAGAGTCAAGTTTCAGCATCCAGATGCCAGCTATCAGTCTCTGATCCCTGGTTGCTCTTCCTCCCCTGGTGCCCGCTGGGCCCTCTGGACCTCTACCTGTTTCACTAGGACCAGCTGTGCACTCCGACTTGGGCCAACCTCATTCTTACAGGCAGTTTGGGATTCCCCATGCACGACTGTTCTATCCCACTCCATTCCAGTAGTTAGCAACAGAGCTTGGCACAGGGCACAGCCTGTGGCTGTGGTGGCGGTCATGACACTAGAGTCTGTGTCCTGGGGTAACAGTGAGTCTTATTTTAGTTTGACACAGGTCCAGGAATGGCCAGCAACTGGAGGCATGCTGAAGCTATATTGCTCATCTGGCTCAAAATACGTGAGCAGTGGTGGTTTGGGAAAGAACCATGTTATTTACCCAATTCTCATTTTTCAAAAACTGGATTTTCCATTTTGGATGTTCAATTTGGGGAGCTTAAAATATAAGCAAGTTGACCCTAACTTCAGACCCTAACTTTAAAACACTCCTTTGAAGACAGGATGCCCAAGAAGTAGTTTAGGGCGACCACTTCTACGGGCTTACGTTTTTTGTGGTTTTACCCTTATGTTACCCTACTATAGAAAGAGCCTGTAGTACTGTTTTCAGGTCGAGATCATGCTAGAAAACTGGCATGGAAGAGAGAAAGAAAGAAAGAAAAGAAAGAAAGAAAGGAAGGAAGGAAGGAAGGAAGGAAGGAAGGAAGGAGGGAAGGAAGGACTCTATTCAATGGTTCAAGGTTTACTTTGGGAGTGGGAAATGGAGTCTGTTCTGGAAATAGACAGAAGTAGTTGTACTCCATTGTGGATGTACTGGATGCTACTAAATCAAACTTCAAAACACAGAAGTCATCCCTGTGGGCCAGCCAGAGGGCTACAGGTAAAGGCACTTGTCACCAAGCCTTAGAACTTGAGGTCAATCCTTGGAACCCACAGTGGAGACAGAACTGACTCCTGAATGTTGTCATCTGACATCCGCACATGCCATGGCATGTGTGCACGTGCACCCAAATAAATACCAAGTAAATAGAAATGATCCCTGAAAGTAGAGTCTTTGAATTACACATTGTTTGATTTGGATTACATTTTTAAGTAGTTAGTTTCACATTATAAAGAACGCATTTAGGGAAACAAAGGGAGGCAGTACACCATCATCACCAACATCTGAACTCCAGGGCCAACGCTCCTTCTGTATCAGGAACCCTAACGCCACAACCATGAGGCCCCCGAAGTCAGAATTTCTAAAAGCACAAGTTTCCTTGTGCTGCCTGGGCAGATGTTTCTAATTGGCCACAGTGAGGTTACTCTCTCTGCCCTAGAAGATGCCAAGCAGTCCCAGGAGAGCAAGACAGAGTTTTCTCAGACATCAAAGGCCCCTTGAAACATGTGAGCCTCCTCAGGATAAGTATCCAGTACCTCGGAGGAATTGGGAATACAGTAATGTGACTGCATGAGATTGTGTATGTAGTGTACGTGTGTATGTGTGTGTGTGTGCTCACCTGTGCATGCACATATAGATACCAGAAGTATCCTCCTCTGTCACGGAGGTTCTCAACCATTACAGTTCCTAACAGTAGCAAACTTAACAGTTATGAAGTAGCAATGAAATAATTTTAAGGTTGGGGGTCACAATATAAGGAACTGTATCAAAGGGTCACAGTATTAGGAGGGTTGAGAACCACTGCTCTAGAACCTCCATTTTGTTTCTTGAGATGGTCTCTCACTGAACCCAGAGCTCTCAATCAGCCAGACTGAGTCACAGCCCAGGGATCCTCGCACATCTCTCCCCTCAGCACTAAGACTCCGGGGTGCACTGTGACATGCAGCTTCTTTAAGGGTGGGTGCTGGGATCCAAACTCAGGTCCTCACACTTGCACAGATAAACTCTGCCCACCCACTCCCCGAGCTTCGGTTCTAAGGGAGAAATTTTCGCACCTTCCGCTGCCCAGAAAGTGTGGGAACAAGCTTGCATATTAACGCACCCAATTCCTGCCTCTGCTCAGTACACTCTAGCACCCCATGCCCAGCAGCAGGACAGTAGGCCTGTGTCGTCTAATTGGCTGGCTTCCTCCTCGGCGTCATATATCTAGTGGAATGCGACTGCCCCTCAGCTTGTCAAGTCTCAAGTACATGCTATTCCAGAAGTGACCCCAAAATGTCATCCTTGGTGTTACCAGCAAAACAGTATTTATACCTACATTTCCACTCAGAGAGTGCGTGATTCCTTTGTACTTAAGGACAGTGCTATTACACACATTATTCTATTAAAATCCACAATTAAAATTTGCTGAAGAAAAATGAAGACTACAGAAAAAAAAGTGGGCAGTAAAATGTTTAATTCTTTCCAAACACAAAAGTAGAACAAATAGTACAGTAGTTTACAAACGCCAGGACTAAGTAAAATAGGAATGCATTCATTTCTGACATGAAAAAATAACTTCACAAAGTATTAGTTGTATTATTTTTTGAGTGTCTTGGGTTTGACTGTGAGAAATTAATGGTATTGAGACCAGAAGTTGATCAGCTATAATGAGTAGTTCCTCCCGTAAAAACAACCAAGTTTAACCCTGGCCACCTATCCTTTGAAGCTTCACATTTCTTTGTAAAGCTAACGATATAAGTTTACTGAGCTACATCAGAGCCACACAACTCTTTCCCTTCCCTCTGTAACTGAAATGAACTTTATTGGTCTTAAAACAAACAAAAACCACAGGGACTATGTAGCCCTGGCTGGCCCAAAATGCCCTATGCTGACCAGGCTGGCTCAAATTCGCGAGATTCACTTACAGGTGTGCCACCATGCTGGCTGGACCTTACTATTTTAACAGTGAAAGATGTGATGCTCTTGTGCTATCAATGAAGAACAGGATACCATCTGCCTTGACCACAGAAGTTCAGACACTCCATCAGCATTAAGTAGAAGGTAGTGGTGGTTAAGCTAAGCCCCTTCCTACATTTCTACTGTGGAAAGTTATCCACAGCTTTTCAAAATTATACATCAGCTCTCCATCTACACAGTACATGTCAATCATTGGCAGTATATTAGATAATGAAAACCTAGGGTAACTCAAACCACACAAACTCTACTACCTGCTTCCCCAGTAGACTTTACACATTGGAAACCTGCCTCAAACACCTGTTAGAGACAGTTAAGAGAGTGCAAGACACCCAGCTACAACTGAAGTTTCCTTTTATGTTGTGTGGTATGTGTGGGGATCCCATCAGTGCCCATGTGGAGGTCCAAAAACAATTCAGGGGGTAACTGGTTCTTTCCCTCCACCATGTGTGTTCTGAGGAAAGAACGAGGTTGCCAGGCTTGATAGCCATTGCTTTTACCTGCTGGTACCTATTCATGATTCTTGAGCATTTATAGACTGTTGAGCGTTGATGGTGAAATAGGCTGTTCTTTAAAAGACATGAGTATATTTCTAAAATTTCTTAAGTGACTCAGATTTATTTGAAAAGAGCTGGTCCATGTTTCCAGCTTACTGTCACTGAGAAAACACCTTATACTATGGTAGAACTCTGCTTTAATATCTCCATGTAGAAACTTCACAGTGGAAGACACTGACTACTATTAAGTGTAAAGGCATCAAAACCAACCGCCATTTTAAACTGCAGCATGGAATATTCTTACAATGCACTGGCATACTCATTAACTGCCCAGGTTATGCAAACCAATTGCTATCCACCCCCTGACCATCAATCTATTTATATCTATACCATATAAGATAACTGCTAACAGACCAACCAGCTCACCTTGAGACTCTAAAAACCTTTCAGGTATCTTTAAAAGAAACTCTGAAAAAGCCACCCCCCACCCTGAACATTTTCACACCCAATTTTCCATCCATTACCATGATAACAAAGCAAAAGGTGTTACACCTTAACAAGAGACCTAAGTAAAATAATTTTACTTCTTGTCTGAAAACATTTCTTAGCTCTTAAATGGGGGAGGGGACATCCTAATTCCTTGGAGAAGGAAAATTATTTCACAAGTAAAAATAGTACATTTATTGACAGTTGTACAAAATATTTCATCATTGCAAGAAAATGTAATTTAAAGCTAATAATTGTAATACATGGAATAAATGTCACTCATGAACATGGTCTATTATTTCTTACAAAGTCCTCAATTAGGAACAGTGGGTATAAGGTGTGTCTTTTCCAACATTTGGTCATATTAGCTAAAAGCCCTGGGCTAACAGGACCTGAGTTTCAGGTCCCTCACCTCTCACATGAGGGTCCTGGACTGACCACCCTGGGCATCCTCAACCTGCAAGTTTCTATCATTTGGTACAAGAATTCTATTTTGTGTCATATTGCATGGTTTGGCTTTTGTATTAAATATGTATATATCTATGGGATGCAGTGGTAATTTGATAAATCTTGTTAAGAGTGAGATGCTTTAACTCATCACTTTCCAAACCAAACCCCCAGATCCCTCCAGGTAAGTGGCCAAGCACATTTTCAAGTATTTCTTCATCACTTAACAGATGTGGTAAGAATAACCCTGACAGATGACAGTGATCAGCAGGGATAGCTCAGGCTATGGCTCCAAGTTACTCGGAGTGAGAACCAAGGTTCCACAACTCTGTGTTTTGACACAAATAATGTCCTAATACCTCAAAGCATTTGCAAACTTTAAACTACCACACAGATACAAAGGGGTTTTGCAACCAATCTAAGCTGACTTTTCTCTGATTAAAAAAAAAAAGAAATCTGGGTTTTAAAAAAAATGCATGTTCCTTAGTTACCACTTAAAACCAAGGTGACTGAGGTCAGCCTCATCTCTCTGTTCCTGACTCTGCTTTCAATAGTAGCAGGCCTGAGATTTAGATTACATCCCCTAAAGTCTAGCAATCTGACCTGGAAACAGGAGAACCAAAGCCTACCAATCCAATCTGTCACTTTGTCAACAGCAGTGGTATCACTATTCACTCTGAAGAGTGATTAAACTCATTCCTGGCCTTCAGCCTCCGGTGCCTGGAGCAGGACCCAGAAAAATGAATTCTTTCAAAAGCGCCATCAGATAATCTTAACAGTCAGTAGGTTCAGTCCGTGCTTGACTCTAGTTCATTCTCTGCTGCTACTTGGCTTGTTTGGGCATAAACATTTCTCTTATGCACCAGACACACCTTTCTCCATTGCAGCACTCGGGATGCTAAGGATGGGCGTCGAGTTCAAGGCCAGCTAGGGCTAAAGAGAGACATCATTGTTCTTAAAGAAAATCCCTTGCGTTGATCCTATGATTGAGACTTAGCTCTGCAGGAAATCAGAAATATCAACCCTCTGCAATAAAGGGATGCCATGATAATTCATTTCAGTACACAATGCATGAAAGGTCCTACTGGTACCACTGTGTTCTGCTTTCGTGGAAGAAGAGAAAACCATCTAATTAGCTGTTACCACCAACAGGTGACAGAACTCCAAAAGCAAGCCACTAACCAGCTACTCCACATTCTTTATGTTTCTAGCCGACATAAATGAAAAGTTGAAAATCACTACTCAACTTCCTCCAGAAACCCAGAAACTTCACACTCAGTGGTCTACCACACAGAGGGAAGTTGATACTATGAGTGTTTAAAAATATGTCCAATTAACCAAACATATCAGAGTACAGTTGGTATAATTGATCCTTTAGGAGCTTTAGCAACATGAATTGTGAAAATCACAAATGACATATTTGGTACAATGTGGCTCCAAAAACACATTTCTTCCAAACTTAGCAAAACCACATTTGGATTTTCCAGGCGTCCCATGTGCATCTAAGAGCTTCGGAATGTGGTCATGTCTTTGGGCTCTCTGCTGGGGACACACCAGTCGTCAGCCTCATGGTTGGTTTTGTAATGCTTCCAGGCAGCTTTATTATACACAGGGAGTCTCTCAATGGATTCTGTTGACAGAGCCTGAGGTTGAAAAGAAGTCCTCTAAGTCAGACATTTTTGAGAATTCATTATCTGAGACAATATAGACATTGGTAAACAATGACTATAGGTAAACATCATTCCACCGGCACCTACCAATTAATTACTAGCCGCACACATCTTCAGGGCGGCCATCTTTGAAACATGCTATTTACTGTATCCGTGGCACCAATAACACAGTGATTGGATTTATTCTTATCACTTCCTAGCCAGCCAGTCCAGAAACGTCTACCAAGGTAGAATAGACACTCTTGCAAAGTGCACGCCCAGCTAGGAGCAAAAGCTGGCTAAGTGTAAGAGCATAAAAATCAGATATACCCTAATATATATATACAGATTTAATGAGAAGAAGCCCAGTTTTCTTCACTATGTAGCAGTGTATTATTAAAAATGCTATTACAGGGACGGAGATGGCTCAGTGGCTAAGAGCACTTGCTGTTGTAGAGGACCGGGGTTCAGTTCCCAGCACCCACACAGTAGCTCACTACCATCTCTGACTCAGTGCAAAACACCTGATGAGTTCTTCTGAGCGCCACATACATCAGGCAGACATACATGTAGGCAAAACATACACATAAAATAATCTTTTAAAAAAATTAAAAGCTGAACATACCAATATTGTCATCAATAAATATCAAGCTAAATCTAAGATGTCTTGGCTTTTACATGAACAGTGCTTTTATATGAACAGTGTTTTTCCCTCCCCATGCCCTGAACACAGGGTCTTCTTGTCTGTGAAGCAAGCACTCTGTCACAGAGCAACACCCCAGTCCAAATACTGGGTTTTCTCCTCCCAACATTAGAGCAGTTTTGGTCACTGAACATGTATTTCTGTTTCCTGTACACAATCATTCATCCATCACTCTATAACTTCCTGTAGACAACGGAAGCCAGGGACAACTATACTTCCTATTACTGTCTTCACAGTAGGAGTTTCCAGAATTTTGACAATAGGCCACTGGTATTCCCCAGAACCAGCAATTTCCTCCTGATGATGCTGAATAAGATCATTAATGTGACTGGGTGTGATGACTTCAGTAAAATGCTTGTATTCTAGCTTTTCCCAAATAGAAGAAATTTCTACTTCTGTGCTCTGAGTAGTCTAAACATATATCACAATGTTACATTAGTGTTGAAAATACTGCACTGATATTGTCATATTTAAGTTCCTCACAATGACATGTTGAAAATAAAAAATGGCTATAAAGAATTTAATCTTTCCAGGCCAACCTTTTCTTTCTCACAAAATTCTTGAGCATTGCCTATAAAATAGGTGCCATCTAGTGGCCGGAACAAGAAACTAGAGCACCAGCCATGTAACCAGTGTTTTTAAAATAGTATTATTATTGCATTTATTTATTTGTGTATTTGCGTGGCTCAAGCAGGTAAAGATGCTTGCTATCAAGCCTAAAGACCTGAACCCCACACATGCATGCCCACATAACACGCTCTAAATAAATAAATCCAAAGTTTTAAAAGAACTACTTTAGGTGGCTGGGGAGAAGGCTCAGCAGTTAAGAGCATTTGCTGCTCTTGTAGAAGTCCTGGGTTTTATTCCCAGCACCTACACGGTTGCTCACAATCATCTGTAACTCCCATTCCAGAGGATCTGATACTGTCTTCTCCACGAGCATCAGACACGTATGTGGTAAACATACATGCAGGCAAAACCCTCATACAAATAGTGTGTGTATATATATTTTTTATAAAAAGTAATCATTTACTGGCAGTTGGAAAGCAATAGCCTAACATGTGGAAGGCTACAAGTTCACACACACACACACACACACACACACACACACAAAGGCTAAGTGTTATTATTGCCTGTCAAAATGGTTTATGGTTGTCCCCAGGCCCGATGACCGTGGTCAATCTCCAGAACCCACATGGTGAAAGGGAAGGACTAATTCTGGAAAGTTGTTCTCTGACAACCATGCATGTGCACACCCATGAACACACACATAATAAACAAACAAATGTGGGCTTTTGTTTCTTTTTTAAAGAGCAGTGATGGGGGATGTCCTTCTACATATATGTTTCTCTTATTGGTTGATGAATAAAACACTGTTTGGCCAATGAGGCAGGGAGATGAGAATTCTGGGAAAGGTAGGCAGAGGAAGACTGCAAAACAGACACCATGTAGGACGCCAAAGGAGTAATAGGTTTGGGCATTCTCCGGTAAGCCAAGACCACATGGAAATACTAAGATTGATAGAAATGGGCTAATAATTAAGACAGAGCTAGCCAATAAGAAGCCCTAGTCATCGGCCAACAGTTTAATAATTAATATAGTGTCCATGTGTTTATTTGGGGCTGAGAAGGGTGGCGGGACCTGGTGGGACAAGAGAAAATTGCAGCAACAGAGTAGATTAATGACTGGTCACATGTTTCACATAAAAACTAAATCACTTTACCTATCTTCTTTCTTCCCCACTGCCCTCAACTATCAGAATGAGTGCATTCCCATGTAACCATCACTTCATTTATTAAATAGCATGAGGTTTAGTAAAATCCCATTATACTTTTTCATTGGTACCTTTTCTTACCATTAAAAAAAATTTGGGCAAGGGTTTGGAGACCTGGCCTAGTGGTTCAGAGCACTGGCTGCTCTTCCAGAGGACCCAGGTTCAGTTCCCAGCACCCACATGGTGGCTCACAACTGTCTGTAACAGTCTAGTTCCAGGGGATACCATGCCTACTTCTGGTCTATAAGGGTACCAGGCACATTCACTGTACAAAGACATACATGTAAGAATAAAAAAATAATAACACAGTTAAATCGGGAAGCTTCAGTTATTACCTTAATATAGATAACAGCATCAGTCCCGTAGCCCTCCAATGAGTACAGCTTTAGGTCCCCCTGGAAATACTGTGCATAGAGGCGTGATATGGGCAATCCATAACCAAAACCAGCCTGTGCAGTGAGAAAACAAAGCTCGGTTCAGAGACCCACATCCCAAAGCCCTTTTCTAACTAAAAATTCCACGGAATGCTGTAGAGCCATCCGCCTACGCACCCGAGAGAGCTTGTGAAACACAATCACACAGAAGGATTAAGCTGGAGTTAGGCTGACCCCATTAGTGCACCAATTCTGGACCTAAAGCCCTTTACCCTACCTATAAAATAACTGTGGTAGTCTGGAGAAGGCATCTTGTTTTTCTTTGCTGTCATGCCCCAGGGTTCGCCAATACAGCTCAGCAATTTCATACAAGGCACACTGTTTTGTTTAGGAGCAAGACTAGAAAATGCCTTGCTGCAGCTTTACTAGCAATAGATAGGAATCTCAGGACTTGACACCACGGATGCCCAGCCTTTGCTCGGAACCTGGAGATAATCTGTAACAGTCCACCCTCTTAGTTCTCACTGACAGATCATCTCCCTGCTCCAAAGTCCTCAAAGCACCCCACTGCCCCACCACCCACTCCCTGCCCTAGAGACAAAAGCCAAGCTTCTTGAACACTTCCGAGACAAGAGCAGGTCTCTGCCTCCTGCTCACTGTGCTATCTAGCAGAACCAACCTCCTTCCTTGAGTTCCTTAAACACAGGATTTCTGGGGCTTTGTTCAACCATTTCCAGTACCTGGACCTTCTTTACCTGGATAACTCCACAAACTCTAGGCTCAAGGTAAATACGGCTCCCATCTCCAAAGCATGCCTTTGGTGGCGATCCTCACAGAATGTTATTCAGTATTTGTGTGAACAGAAGCATCCCGCACTAATAACATGCAGAGGCGCGCCCACTGATTACTTTCGATATTACTGTTATTTGTGTGTTTACGGTGCAGGCATGCACACATAGTGTTGTATAGTGGAGTTGAGGACAGCTTCCAGGAGTTGGTTCTTTCCTGCCACATGGGATCTGGGAATCAAATGATGGCATCAGGGTGGTAAGACAAGCCATGTTTCCCACCGAGCCATTCCACCAGTACTGATTATTTTATATTCTAAACTGTTTCTGTGTGTCCCTCCAAGTCAACTACCAATTTTCAACTTTCTCCGCCCCAGTGGCTGAGCAGCATTTGTGTTTTCAGTTCAGGGGAACCAGCAGGATGGAAGGGAAAATCAAGGCAGTTACTCCTTGCTTCTTCCCTGTTAGGGTGCTCTGTTCAGGGGGTGCCTCTGAGAGTAAGCAGCACCTAAACAACTATAACTTGAGGTTCAGACAGGTGAACTTAAAAGATCAAAACCACCGGGCAGTGGTGGTGCACGCCTTTAATCCCAGCACTCGGGAGGCAGAGGCAGGCGGATCTCTGTGAGTTCGAGGCCAGGCTGGACCGACAGCCTCGAAAACAATACAGAGAAACCCTGTCTCGAAAAAACCAAAAAAAAAAAAAAAAAAAAAACAAAACACCAAAAAAAAAAAAACCAAAACAAAACAAAAAAAAAGATCAAAACCTGGAGGCTGGGGAGATGGCTCAGCAGTTAAGGGTGATCCAGGTTCGGTTCCCAGCACCCACACGGTGACTAACAACCATGTATAACTTCAGTCCCAGGGCATTCATCACCCTTTCTGGCCTCTGTGCGTACTGCACATGTAGTGCACTTACATACATGCAACCAAAAACTCACATACAAACAATCAGAAAAATAAATTTTTTAAAAATGCAAAAAGCTGGGTGGGCTTGGTGGTATGTGCCTTTAATCCCAGAACACTGGAGGCAAAGCCAGGTGGATGGCTGTGAACTGAAGGCCAGCCTTTGTTTCATAGTGAGACCATGTCTCAAACAAATTACACAGAGATCAGAATCTCACTTGAGTCTACACAATGAGGTCTTTTAAAATACAAATACTTGGGGGGAAAACATCAATATTAAAGATTAAGTCAATGGTGACCAGTTATTACTACAATCCCTAGGTTAATCTTCCTACTGAAATAGACTGTCACATATGATTTACCACAGAGAAAACTGCTGTGAGGTTACTACCAAGAGTAGCAGGAAAAAAAATTCGTAAACTATAATCTGTCTTGTGCCTATTTCAATTAAAAATTAATCCCAGGGCTGCTTAAATTTAGACAGAAGTGTTTGTCTCTAAAGTTTCAAAGCATTTTCCTTTCTGGTGAGTGCCTGTGAAGTTGGTTTAACTGGTTTTGGGGACACCACAGCCTGATGATGGTTGACGGATACATGGCCTTTCTGTATCACATACCAGAGGCACTGCACGGGATGTCTCAACACGAGGCCGGGGTGCAGTTGAGTACATGTAGTTGAAGAGTCTGTCAATCTTCCTCAGTGGAACACCGCCTCCCCGGTCACTCATCTAAGAGGAGAAAGACCATACTGTGACCAAGTGCCACACATTACAGTATCACAACTTAACCGCTTCAGAGAGAACGCTGCTTTTGGAAGTTGCAGTCCAGGCTACAAACACAAACACTGCCCTCAATGGTCCAGCTAACACAGAGTGAATCCTTCCTGGTGGCCAATGTAATAACCAGGATAAAAAAGGCAAGGGCATACTGCACAGCAACGCCACCTCCTAAGGTTTATTCTAAGAACCTAAGCATGCAAAGTGCACATGAGAGTATCCATAACAGTTTTTAAAAAATCAGAGTAGCTCACATAGGGGACTACACAAAGTACATTTTAAACAAAATACTATGTAGTTGTTTAAATATGTAGAACTCTATGTATTAGCAAGAGAGATCTCTTAAAAAATAGGCAGCAAAGAACAAGTTAGAAATGCTCACAATTCTAATTCTGTAAATATATTATAAAACAGAAGTTTGAAACGGGCTGGAGAGATGATTTCACAGTTAAGAGGAGTGACTGCTCTCCCAGAGGACTTGGTTAGTTCCCAGCTCCTACATGGTGGTTCTAACCATCAAGACTCCACTTCCGGAGAATCCAGCACCTACTTCTGGTCTCCACGGGCACTGCACTCATGGTGCACATAACCTACATAAAAACCAAATGTTTTTTTTTAAGGAATCATGCTACATGCCTGCAATCTCAGCATGTAGGGGACTGAGGCAGAGGACTGTCACAATTAGAGATCAGCTTGTGTTCTAATGTAATACCCTATCTCAAAACAACAAAAAGAAGCCAGTGAGATGGCTCAGTGGGTGAAGACACTTGCCATCAAGCTTGATGGCCTGAGTTCAATGCTTGGATGCACACGGTGGAATGAGAATCACCTCCTCTGACCTCCGCGCCTGTGCTCAGCATGCACAGACACAAATAAATAAATGCAACTTTGTAACACAGAATCCCAGACAGCATTGTGAGTTAAAGGACACAGATCTTGGTACCATCCTATTATTTTTTTCAAGTAACCATACTGTAAATTGAATTAGTAATTAACGTACACATTATTTTTACTGTTTTCCTTTATAATTAATACAGACTATTTTCCTAGCCTATATTCTAATTTACTATAAACATTCTCAAAAAACAAAAACAAAAAAGCTCTGCAATGAGTATTATCTTCAGAGGCTAATTCAGTGTTTAGCTGTCCTTCACTGGTAAGTGTGGGTGGGCTGAAAACCCCGAGTGAGTGGTACCCCACAAGAGACATTAAGATGGGGAGGTGCTGCAGAGATGGCTCTGAGGCTGAGAGCACCTTCTGCTCTTACAGAGGACCCCAGTTTGGCTCCTAGAACCCACATGGTGGCTCACAACCATCCGTACTCAAATTTCAGGGGATCCAGTACCCTCTTCTGATATCCTGGGGCACCGCGCATGCAAGTAGTACATAGATATACATTCAGGCAAAACACCTATAAAATCAATCTAAAAATATAATAATAATAATAATAATAAAGACTAACGGGGAACTGCAGAGATGTCTCAGTGGTAAAGCACTCGGTGTACCAAGCATGAGGGCCTCAGGGTAAGTCCCCAGAACCTGCATAAAGCCCGGTACAGTGGCACATGCACGTAATCCCCACACTTCTGCAGGGAGGTGGGGAGCAGAGCCAGGACGAGTCTGGCTCACACAGGAGCAAAAACAGAGATCCTGTCTCATACAACGGATAAGGTGAAGACAGACACCCAAAGCCGTCCTCTGTCCATCAAATGAGCACACCTGCGCTCAGCTTACACACCACCCACCCATACACACATGCATACACAGACAGACAGACAGACACAGACACAGACACAGACACAGACACACACACACACACACACACACACACACACACACACACACACACACACACACACATTGAACAAATGTTTCCTGGTTTTCTTTTCTCCTAACAAAGACTAACTTTACAGCAAAGAGACCACACTCCGTGGCACGGCTTGTACAAAACAAGAAGTGATTCCGGCCATCTGAGGAAAGCATGTGTGTGAGCTGAGCAGAAAGGACTGCGGGGCTGTGAGAGCGGCACACTACAACCACTACTAGAGGCTGACAGGCAATCTAAGCCAGGGGGTGTGGTGAGGCCTAAACAACCTTTGCTTTACAGCCAATGTGGCAAACATCTGGCGGATTATATAAGGTACTGCAAACAGTTTGAAAGATTACCGAAAGATCGGAGTCCTTCAAGGGAAGGGAGAGGGGGTGATGGGGAGGTGGGTCTTGGTGTGTATACTCAGGCAAGAGGAGTAACATTCTGGAAGCAGCTACACTGAGAACTATGTGAAAACAGAACAAGACGACACTGTGACACAAACATGAATCTGAGCCTGCATCATAGAGAAACAGATGAGGGGTGTTGAGAGGAGGCTGGGTGCCAGCCTACCCTCGGTGAAACCACTTCTCAGAGCATCTAGTCTTGAGCTGCCATCCCACCCCACCCCTCCCCACCACAGCCACCACCCCATCCCTGCCTGCCTTCCTGTCCTCCAACACTGACTCTCTGAGCTAACTCACGTGAATACAGGCCCAGAGAAAAGGAAACCTGACTTCAGGTTTGTTTATTCTAAAAATGAAGCTGGAGATGGCTTCACAGTTACGAGCACTGGCTGCTCTTGTAGAAGACCTAGGTTTGGTTCCCAGCACCCACACTGTGGTTCACAACTACCTACAATTCTAGTTCCAGGGGATGCAGCACCCTCTTCTGAACCTTGAGGGTACCAGGCACATAACACAGTACAGAAACATACATGCAAGCAAAACATTCATGCATATAAAATAAAATATACAACCTGAAAGCGATTTTAGTCTACACATTCACACAACTCTTAAAGCAAATACATCAAATTGTTATATATTCATGAATAAATAGTCAATAAACACAAACAAAAACCCCAAAGGAGACAGTATATGAAGCAGAGAAAAAAATAGGTAAATTGTAATTTTAAATAAACAATGGTAATTACTACCTTTGGGGTAACAAAAAAAACCAAACAGAACACTGTGATAAGGACTAAGTTAAATAAATAAATAAATAACAGGCGCTCTTTAAAAATCTCAGAGATACTGGAAATAAAAACTGATAGAAGGGCAGGGAGTCTGTAGTAGGAGAGGGGCTGGTGAGAGAGCTCACAGGATAAAGGCACTGCTATCAAGCTTGCGGACCTGATTTCAATCTAGAGCCAGCACTTCCAGGAGGAGAGAACAGATTCCCAAGGAAACAGAGGGATGGTGTCTAATATTGACTATCAACCGAATGGGATCTAGACTCACCTATAAGACAGTCTCTGGGCATGCCTGTGGGGGTATCTACACTAGGTCCTCCTAGTCATGCTGTGGGGGTATCTACACTAGGTCCTCCTAGTCATGCTGTGAGGGGAGGTACCTAAATTAGATACTACTAGTCACGCTCTGGGAGATTATCTAAATTAGATTATTTCTGGCAATGCCTATGAGGGATTATCTTAATTAAGATAACTGAGATATAAAAACCCATCCTAAACGTGGCTGGCACCACTCCCTGGCTTGGGTTAGCCTCCAAAAGAAAAGACTAGCTGAGTACCAGCATCATAGCTATTACCTGACTATGGACGTGATGTGGCCCATTACCTGTAGCTCCTCTGTCACTCCTTCCCCAACATGATGGACTGTACCCTTTGACTCTGAGTCAAAACAAACCTTTCTCTTTCAAGCTGCTTTTCCCAGGGAAAGAAAATAAGACAAATGAGTTCAGAGGTCCCAAAGAAAACAAAGGTCCACACTGACTCCAATCACAGAGAATTCCAGAACACAATCCAGAAAAAGATCTAGGAGCTTTAGTTAAAACAAAACCAGATGCCTAAAAGCAACATACAAAGTAAGAGGAACCACAGCAAACCTGAACCTCAGGTTGTTCTCAGAAGGAATAACCTGGATGTCATCTGCAAAAACAGCAAAGGACAGACCCCAAAGTCACTCTTCCAACATAGCACCAAGAAAAAAGAAAAAGAGTCCTTCTGTCAGGATCAGGAGTCTGAAGATAACCAATGGAGAGGCACCTGTTCAAGAAAACAGGGCAGGAGCTCTGTGTAGTCTGGGCTTAGTATCATCTAGCCCTGCTTCCGGCCCCCATGCCACTGACAGGCCAGCAGTATGAAACTAGCCACTGAGTCCCCAGCCCCCTGCCACTATTAAGTCTTAGGTCCCATTGGAAACAGTTGTCAGAAACAATTAGAAGTAATGGAATACTCCGAAGGCTTTGAGGACGTGGGCATGCTAGCACAAATAACAGGCTACCAAAGAGTTTAGAAGGACATCGAGGGAATAAGATGGTCATGGGGTTTTGAAAAGCTGAACCCTGGGAATCTAGAAGGTCAGACTCTGAGGGCTATGCTCCCATCCAGGAAAGCCTCCAGAAGGCCTAAGCTCTCAACCCTACCTAACTGCTATCAGCTTGCACCCCGCACTAAGTTACTCCATGCTGGGAAAAGAGTGGTTTTCCAGGCTGAGCCTTGCCCTGAGAGACTCCACTTTAAGGATGGAGGCGAAGGGCACCAGGGTGGTGTATGAATGAGAACTCTGAAGACAGTTGTTTTCCCAGGGTTGGTTTCACACATGGAATTGCAGGTTGCAGGTAACTACTGCCAGAGTCCTGTAGGTGATCCTGCCAACTGGCACCTGAGGCTGAATAGGGAAGGCACAAGTGTTCCACTGCGGCATTCAAGAGAGCTAAGGGCTCTCTACCAACCGTCACAGAAAGCCAGCGAGTGCTATTTACAGGGTAGAATTCTCAGAATTAGCAATGCCAGAGCACCCCTCAGAAAAGCAGGAAGCACAGAACTGCTAAGCCAAGCTGTGAGCAGCACGCATGAATAGCCAGAAAGGGCATCTGACTTTCATACTGTCTGTTACCTGTTGACTTACAAAGAAGCACAGTTGATCTAAGCAAACTATGCTATCAGAGCAGGGAGGCAGGAAAGCCAAGCAGGGGCCAGAGGGCGGGATCTCGGACCTGTAGCTTTTCCGCCCCGTGTGGCCCTAACTCATCTCTGACCCTTAAGCTTCCACAGCTGTAAAGCAAGCTAAAATCACACGTGCTTCTGGGAAGCTGTGATGAAATAGAACAAAGCAGACAGAAGCGCTGCTTAAAACTGAAGTAAGATTAACTTTCCCCATCAGCGGAAAGCGCCCAAGCATTGAGATTGTCTCCAATTCAAACTGTCTCTGGGTGTTCCTTCAGCCTGAATCACCTGGATTAAGGACCAGAATAGAAACAGACTCAGAAGATAATTCGATAATTTGCCAGATAAACAAAGCAAAGTACTTATTATCTAGTTGACTGAAATTCTTTCCCTTGAAAATAAATTATGTATTATAGAAATTAGACTTCTTATATTATCTTAGCATGCCTCCATATCCATTAGAAAAGATTACCTTCACCGTCAAATCCTCCTCTCCCAGTGTGACATGAACTTGAATCGGGGGATAGACACCTTTGTCAGCATGGTGCTCCATGGTTGCCCTCATTGCATTCTGAAATACATCAGGGTTACGTTAAAATACAGCTCTCTAAAAAGCAACCAACTACTTGCAATTTTAAACATTATGTGCATTATTTGAATTTTAAGTTTTCTTTGTCATTGGTTTGAAACTAAGGGAATTTACACCATAAAATGTTCTGGCCAGTTTTTAAAAGATGCTGAGGCGCACAAGGCCAGCACTGTCTAAGCATGGAATAGTAACAGGACACATGGCACCGGGAAAAACCACAAGGGCCAGAGGAAGCTTCAACGGAACGTGGAGTTGAGAGTGAGGGCCCTGACCGCTGAGGACTGAGCAGACCTGAGGAGAGGAGACTGCACTTTTCCGCCAATCAGTTTACTACTAGGTTCCAGACAAAAGCCACCCTCACGGCCATTATATAAATCCGTCACAGGAAAAATAAATAAATAAATAAATAAATAGATAGATAGATACGTCACAGCTTATATAAAGTTTTATTAAGTATCATAGGGCAGAATCTATACACAACTGAAATTTCAAGGGAAAAACGTGTTGAGGGCCAACTGTCTTAGCCACTGATGGATTCTGTACGTGTTAGTGTTAGTGCTAATGGATTCTCTAGGTGTTAGTGCACTCTTCCACCCTCGCTTTCTGAGCTCTCTGTGTTTCAGTACGCTGTTCTGTCTTACTTTCTTTTCCTTTCGGATTTTCAGCCCGGGTCTTGCTATGCAGCTCGGGTTGGCCTGCTGCCCTTCCTGCCTCCACTTCAAAACACGCTGGGATTACGGAGTTGCAGGTGTGTGCCACTACCCGGGCAGTCTGCTGTTGTTTTGCATTATGCAACAGATAGCTGAATCTCTCTGCTCTTCTGGCCTGTTGCTGGCCGGAGAGCGGACAGCTAAGTAGGAGGCAGTACAGGCCTGATCTAGCATAGTCATCTCAGCTGCGGGAACAAGCACAATTATCAACCACTTTCTTTCTACTAACAAGGTGGAGGGGTGGGGCGTGACTGTTGACTAGCATGCTTTTATGAGTTTTCTGAATCTGTTATAAACAGTTCTCTAAGTCCAATATAAACAACTTTCCAGGGAAAAAAACAGAAAATACCCATATTAGTGGAGCAGGCTCAAGGGCAGAAAGTTGGGAATTACTATTCTAAATATTTTGGTCTATGAAAATATGAACATAATTTTACTAAGCACCTATCCCATGCTATGCTATTATTGCCACTCAGTACATCTTTCCCAATCTTTACAAGCGTCCCTGGGGAATATCACCCTAGTTTCAAAGAGGACACCAAGGTTCAGAGAGACTGAGTCATCTGCCCAATGTCACATGGAGTCTGACTCCAGTGTGCTCTACTGTACGGAGGCACCCATCTGTACAGACACAAAGCCACTTCCAGCTAAGTGGCACAATACTGACAGGAAATGCATATCTGAACAAAACAGGAAGTCCAAAGGAATATGGTTCTTAGAACAGATTCCTGGGCTCAAGAAAGGACTGGTAAGAGTTATGTAATACTATGTTACAAACCTTGAACAGTTCAAACACCATGTGATAGAGATGGGATGGTACATAAACCACTTGTATTGTCTGTCCTGGTGAAATCGCTACAGAGCAGAAGAGAAAAATATGAAAGTACAGAGAGATGCGTTTAGAGCATTCTTAAGAATAAACTAGAGTGTTGTGGAGAAAACATTAGCTATGGAGGACACGAGGGAGGGGGCTTCACAATATTGCTTCACTGTCTCGGAGTTTTATGTGGAGAAAACATTAGCTATGGAAGACGGTACTGGGGGGGGGGGGCTTCACAACATTGCTTCACTGTCTTAAAAGTCTGAGTCCTGTACTCACACTCATAGGTGATGAGGACAAGAGTCCTGCTGCTTTTCCTCAATCTGATGGAAGAGGTTGGCCACCCGTCCTCCTATGCTTTTCTATGACAGCAAATGTTAGAAGAATTCAATCTTCAGGTAGGATTGTACTTCCTAAGATGTATATCTTAGGGAAAAAAATGTTTCACCTGGGTAGAACACTGTATATTCAAGTTCAGATATTTCTGTGGATACAGCACTGGGTTAAAAAAATTTTTTTTAAAGCTAGCATCATTTCTCAAGGGGTATGTGTATGTAACAGAGATCTCTGGGAGGACTGGGGGTAACACACGATACTTTTACAGTACTTTGACCAATAAGTAACTGGACAAGAAACCAAACTCTCTTGTGAAAACCTCCCGCTTGGAGACGTGAATGGGCTTTCTTGAAACCGCCCACATAGCTCAAACTCTCACCTGTGCCATGCGATTCTTCCTTACTGGGTGGCACCCATCAGAAAACCAGCATGGCAGGAAACCACAAGCGATTCTACCTCAACTGGGTAGCTACGCCACTGCTCCCCTCTCAGAGGTCCAGAATGCAGCTTAGTTAAAGCCTATTAAAACATATTTCCTCCTGTCACCTTCCCAAGGAGAGATTTTCCTTGTTAAACTACCATCATCAGTCTCCTTCCAAAACTCTGAACCCTTTATCCAAAGCCAGGGCTCCAGAGGGACCGTCAGAGAAAAATGGACTCTCACAGATGAGCGGCTTCATCTTTCACGCGCCCAGTCCTCTGACTTCAACATAAAAACAACTTACAATTCAGGAAGAGAAAAAGGATCAGCTTTGCTATGAGGTATACACAAAAATTAAACATAATTTTGTTGGTATTATTTTTCCCACTGTCTCTGAAAAAAATAGCAAGAAATCAAATTTATCATTTTAAAATAGAGCAAAAACAAAACACCAAAACATCTGTCCTAAGAACCACACTAAACTGTGTAGTAAGTGGAGATGCACTGCACACGTGTCTTCTGCATTCACACCTAGTGAAGAAGCTGATGGGAATCCATCACTGCTCAAGCCAACCTCAACTTGCTTCTTGGTTGTCAGAACACCCATTACTGAGGACAGACGCCACCAGGCAGGCTTACCATTTAGTTCTTCAAGTTCTAGTTCAGGAGAGTTAACATAATACAAATCACAAAGCCGCCTAGCATTTTCATAGCCATCTAGTGTGAATCAAACAAAACAAAGAAGCATTAAATAAATGTACTTCCGTCTTATGCAACAAGAGGCCAACAGCAATGACAAATGAAAACTTAAAATTCTCGGCAGAAGAAAATATACTTTAACAATCTTAGTGAGGGGAAAGTCTTTTATGTGACAAAGCCCTCTGAGCTCTGAGAAAATAATGACAGAAAGGGCCACAAAAACTTTAAAATGTCAGCATAGAAAAGCATACCATAAACAAAGCAAAAGAAAAGCAGCAGGCTAAAGAGATTATTTATACGTTAAATATATATATTTACATTAGACATTTGTTTTTGAGACATCCCAAAAACAGTTGGTAAGGGTTTAAGAGGTCGACACCTTTATTATCTAATAACCTTTTGGGGGAAGCACTGAAAATGTAAATGTTTTAAATTCTAGAATTTGTTATTATTGTTGTTTGTTGCTGTTGTTGAGGTAATGGTTTCACTGTGTAACCACACCTAGTCTGATCTCAAATTCCCTGGCTGGCCCTGAACTCACAGAGATCCACGTGCCTCTTCTTCCTTCTTGAATGCTGGGATCAAGAGTGTGCAACACCATGCCTGACAAGTCTGAGATTCTTGCTGTATACTAGCAAATCACTATATATTTAGGGATGCTCACTAAGACACTGTGAGTAACAGAAAGGAAAAAATAAAACAACCTAAGTATATATTACAAGAGCAATAGGTTTAGCACTGTGTTACATTTTACAGAGCCATTCAAATGTGGGCTATGTCCATATGGCTGTGAGTTTGTAGCAAAATGTGTGAAGCACTCCATCTTCTAAAAGCAACAAACACTGTGGTTGGAGAGATGACTCAACTGTTAAGAACACAGGCTGCTAGCCAGGTGTGGTGGTGCACACCTTTAAAACCAGCATTCGGGAGGCAGAAGCAGTCCATCTCTGAGTTCCAGGTCAGCCTGGTCTACAGACCGAGTTTCAGGACAGTTGGAGATACACAGAGAAACCCTGTCTCAAGGGGAAAAAAAAAGAGAGAGAGCACAGGCTTATTTTGCAGAGGACCTTGGTTCAATTCCCAGTATCCACATGGGAGCTCACAGCCATTTTTCTTTCTACTTCCAGGAGATCACATGCCTTCTAGCCTCCCAGAGCATAAGGCATGCACATGACATACAGACACAACCGGAGGCAAAACACCCATACACTTAAAACTGTTTTTGAAAACTTAAAAAAGTCATAAACAAATTATACATAGGTATGCACGTGGTGTCAATAAAAAATGCTTGATAAGATGCAAATCAAACTGCTATGAACTTTCACTCCCAGCACTGGGAACTAGACGGGCCAGAGTCAGAACCTGAATATCGTATTACATTGATCTTCTGGGTATGTGTGTGCATCTGTGGGCGTGTGCATGCCAAGGGTGCGGATGGAGGTCAGAGGGGCAACTTTTGGGAGTTAGTTCTCTCCTTAAAACCAACGAGTTCTTGGGATCAAATTCAGGCTTTGAGGCTTGGCAGCAAGTGTCTTTACACACTGAGGCGTCTCAGTGGCCCTGTTTTAAGAGAGGATGGGGGATAGATTTGAATTTTCTGAAGCAAAGCAGATAAATACACTTACTAAAACCACTAAACTTTACTCTATCAGGAGGGCATTACCTTACATATTGTATAATTCATGTCATGAAGTGATTTCCAAACCTAACGTTTGTTCCTAACATTTTTTTTCTCATGACACACACAGCAGTTATATAGGAAGGAAGAATACTCAGCACTTTGGTGATTTTCGCGTCCTTCTAGAAAGGACAAACACACTTACCTTTAATGACTTCAACTACGTCGCAGTTTGGATTTATGCTTCCTATGTGTTTTCGATAAGATGGGCTTCCTTTTCCACCAAATAATAAAGCTATCAAAAGTGAAAAGTCAAACAAAGTAAGCACATTTACCTAATACCCCTTTCCAGATCTAAACGATGTTTCTCTCTAAATGGTACCAAACAGTAAAACAAATATTTTCCGTAAGCGTAAAGCTGATATTTTTAAAGTCAATAAAATGCCTTCTTTGTACAGCAGTAATGGTCACTTTAAAGGTACGTTTTCTAAATAAATTTAAGAGAGCTACACACACTAACTAGCTACTTCTTTCAGTTTGGGGACACTTACAGTGCTGGTTGAGTAACATTCTAATTGAAATGCGACTCATGTAGAATCGATCCAAAAAGTACTGGACATTTTGACTGGTGACAGGATCCACCCCGAAGCTCTCCTTATATTCGGTCACACCCTGGGCCATGGTCGGAATGACATCATTATGCCGGTTTCTGATCCTTATCACTGTGTCTGTGAATCTAAACAAACGTCTTTGTCAAAACATCCAAATATTTTGACAAGTGACTTTAAGATATAAGCTGCAGCTACAAGAAGCACTAGCTCAGAGAAAGGAGCGCCAGTGGTCAAGGAAGGCTTCCTACACTTGTTTAAACACACTTCAGGTCATAAAACACACTGACTCTACTGGTGCAAGGATCTCCAAATAGAAGACTTCCACAATTCTAGGATTCCGATAGGGCTGCCACAATACTGTGAACAGTGTAAGGTTTTCCCTTGTCCACTGTTATCTAAGCATCCGAGGAGCACTAATAAGGACAGCATTCCAGAGACATGCTGCCAATGAAACCGCCCTCGCTTCCAGGGAAAAGCTCCACAGAGTCAAGATGTGTAATGGGTTGTGGATCTCCTCCCTAGAGTTCAAAGAGAGAAGAAACCACTAAAAACAGAAAAGCAAAAAACAAAAAACAACAACAACAACAAAAACCCTGATTTCATCCACCCTGAACTTACAAAGTGAGTTAGAAAAAAGAAAAGTGTTGGATTAAAAGAGATTTTCAAATCATATGGTCTTATGTCTGTCAATTTAAGGAATAAGATAAAAGACAGAAGTCTTAATTGAGATGTAACAAAACCAATCTCCTAACCTAGCCATTACTAAATTCACACTTCCAAATGAGCACTTTCCCAAGACATCAGCTTAACTAAGTACTGCTTAACTTAGTCCAATGGTTTTCTCACTGCTTAAAACACTTTTGGAATTCTTAGTTGGTAATAAATTTCAAAGGCAAGTTATTAAGACAAATTAAAAATTTTAAAAACTCCTCAAAAACAACCATCAACTGGAAATTACAATCTCCTTATTTGTTTCTCTCTTTAAAACAAAAACTGCTGAGCAGGATAGAGTAATTCACCTGCAATTCCAGACAGAGGCTGAAGCAGGTAAATCACTGTGGACTAGAAGCCAGGCTGGGCTACTCAGTGATTTCCAAGAAAACCTGGGCCACATATAAGACCCTGTCTCAGAATACAAAAATTGGTCTGGGGACACAGCACAGTTAGTAAGGTGCTTGTTGCACAACCATAAACACCTCAGTTCAATCCACACAAACTCATGTAAAAAACGCCAAGCACGGTGGCATACATTTATAATCCCAGTCCTGGAGAAGAAGATAAGATTCCTGCCTGGAGTTCACTGACCAACCAATCCAGTCTAACTGACTTTCTAGGCCAAGAGACCTCATTTCAAAGTAGGCAGATGGCAAAAGCATTGTAGATGCCAACACCGGAGGTTGTCCTCTGGCTTCCATACACGTGCACAGCAACCTGCATATGAATGAACATGCACAGGCAACTATAATCTTTAAAAGAACACAGACCAGGAGGCAATGGCACTCTACTTTAATCCCAGAACTCAGGAGGCAGAGGCAGGCGGATCTCTGTAAATCCAAGGCCAGTCTGCTCTACAAAGTGAGTTCAAGGACAGTCAGAGTTGTAACACAGAGAAACCCTGTCTTGAAACCTGCCCCCCCCTGGAATACAGATGATAGATGTTTTCAAAAGGTTCTACAGAAGTAGCAACATTTACTTTTTGCTTTGTTCCTAGTCCCTCCATTTACCAGCTACAAGACCCCAAGCTGCAACCTTCTTTATGCATAAATCCACTATCTCAGTAGACTTGTTGTAAATACATCACTCACCTAGAGAGTGATCTTCTGATGAATATTACTTTCAAACCAAAAACATGTTTGAAAAATGCAGTAGTGGCATTCCTTTTAAAAGACTGTCTAAAACAAAAAGTATACAGATTCTGAGGACAATTTATACTCTAATAACACTCATTACAAGCTAAGTAACCAGCTGGGCTTACCAACACCGGCATCTAGGCTATGAAATAACATAGGGTTTACAGTGTCTTATAAATCACAGACCACAGAAACCCAGAGCTTGTGAGCTTGCTCTTTCTCTCTTTCTTTCTTTCTTTCTTTCTTTCTTTCTTTCTTTCTTTCTTTCTTTCTTCTTTTCTTTCTTTACTTCCTTCCTTCCTTCTTTAAGATTTTTGAGACAGGGTTTCACTGTGTTGTTTTGGAGGCTGTCCTGGAACTCAGTCTGTAGACCAGGCCGGCCTCAAACTCACAGAAGTCCACCTGCCTCTGCCTCCTGTGCTGGGATTCACACCATTGCCCCAGAGCTATTTCTAGATAACAAAAGCATAAGCAGTAGTCATGTTTCAAAATTAGAGAAAAATATAGACCTGTAAGCTTGTCTTTAAAAAAGAAAATTTCCAGTTATCTGAGTGGCATCTGCACGTATCAATAAGCAGTGGGAGCAGAAGGTGCTGTCCCTTTGGGACTGTCATGCCCTTCCCAGGATAAGAGGTCTGGTGACATGCAGGCCTCTTCTATACTTTCATGGATCATCACATTTGAACTGCCTCTTCTTACAGCAAAGGGGGGCGTGGAACGCGTTTTACATCCAGGCCAGCTCCACGGTTTACACTGTCTCGCTGTCGTCAGTACCTGTGTGGGCTGCTATAAATGAATACGGTAATTATTCTGTAAGGAAAAGAAGCCTCAATGTTAATCAGTTGCCTTAAAGTGGGCCAGTGGCAAATTAAGCTAGCCACATCTACACTTTAATATGGTGTCTAAACAATATAAAATCTGGGCAGAGGCAGGTGCATCTCTGTGAATTCTCTGTAAGTTCAAGGCCAGCCTGGTCTACAAAATGAGTTCCAGGACAGCCAGGGCTACACAGGGAAACCCTGTCTCCAAAAAAAATTATATATAAAATCTGTATTTAGAATAGGATCACACAAGTATACTTACTCATAAATAGTTTTAGTATCTTCAGCACTTTTGTCCTTAAAATCAAGCAGCTCCTGAAGACTCTGGATATACCTAAAACACAAATCAGAGAGCTGAGTTTATTCATATGTGAAATTAGCACAAAGAGTATTTTTAATATTTTATAATTTTAAATTTAGAATACTCCTATAAATTATGTTTGAAGTAGGATTGTTGTTGGTTTTTTTTCTTTCTTTCTTTTTTTTGGTTTTTGTTTTTTGAGACAGGGTAAAATGCAGGCCAGGCATATACCACCAAGCCCTGCTTCAAGTGGTACCGGAATCAACTCTGGAATTTGTCCACTCAGAGCAAGTGCTCTATTAGCTGAGCTACATACTAGTCCAAAAATAGAATTTTTACACCCATTAGCATTTGAGAGATGGCTCAGTGGTTAAGAGTACTTTCTGCTCTTTCAGACAACCCAAGTTCAGTTCCCAGCACCCACAGAAGACAGATTATAACCATCAGTGCCTCCAGCTCCAGGTGACCCAACACCCTCTTCTGGTCTCCATGGGCATCCACACACACAGCACACAATCATGTAGACAAAGACAGACAGACACAAACACATATATTTTCCACCATTGAAATCACAGATAAAGGCCAGGAATGGTAGAGCATGCCTTTTGCCCCAGCATTTGGGAAGCAAATAGATCTCCGTGAATTCAAAGCCAGACTGGTCCACATATCAAGTTCCAGGACAGCCAGAGCTAAACAGTGAGACCCTGTCTCAAAAACAAAAACCAAAGAAAAAAAACCAAACAGATGTTGTGAAATATTTGTTTACACTGTAAAGATGTGTCTCTGCCTAAGGCACCTTCTAATTGGTTTAATAAAGAGCTACATGGCCAATAGCTAAGCAGGAGAGAACAGGCGGGAACTTCCAGGCAGACAGGAAAACTGGGAGGGGGAATCTAGGTGCACAGAGTCAGCAGAAGACACAGGGAGAACAGGACGTACAGTATAACGCATGTGGCAGAATGTAGACCAATATAAACAGGTTAATTTAAGTTTTAAGAGCAGGTTGAAAACAAGCCTAAACCAAAGCTGAGCTTTCATAATTAATAAGTCTCTGTGTCTTTATCTGTGAGCTGGTGGCACAAAGAGAAATCCAGCTACCACCGATAAGGAGTGGAGAGTCCTTTGGTGGCAAAGTATTTGCCCCTCATCACATGTAAAAACAAAGGTCAGTAGGTCAAATTTGAATTAAGAGTTAAAGATTTACATTCTAAACCCTACAAGTTTTTTAATCTTTTACATCACACTGCATCCTGAGAACTGAACTGTCACTACTAACAATGATCATGGGTAAAATTGCTTGTCTTAGTCACAGCAAAATAAGGGGTATACCTTGCTCTAAGAATCTAACTTAAGTGGGCTGGAGAGATGGCACAGAGGTTATAAGCTCTGGCTGCTCTTCAAGAGGTCTTGAATTCAATTCCCAGCAACCACATGGTGGCTCACAGCCATCTATGATGAGATCTGGTGTGCAGGCAGACACACAGGCAGAACGCTGTGTACATAATAAATAAATAAATCTTAAAAAAAAAGAGGCTAACTTAAATGTAAGTGTTTGTGTTTTAAGACCTTAATTATACCATGAGTGCAAAGTCAGCCTGGTCTACAAAGTGAATTCCAGGACATGCTCCAAAGCTACGGAGAAAGCACATCTCGAAAAAAACCAAAACAAAAACACCTTAAATGTTTAGGTCCAGTCAGCAAGTACTTAATGAAAGCCTACAATCTATCATATAGAAAACACACAAGCGACAGTGGATCTGGATCCCACACAGACGGGATTCAGCCCACCTAGAGACTGCCAGCTTCCAAGTCCATTCTTCACCTACAGGACAGGTGAGGTAAGTGTAGGTCTGTCTCCAGCCTGCTTTCCGGTGGCCTGGGTGGCCTGAGCAGAACCAGCAGGGACCTGAGGACTGCGCACAGCAGATCCAGATCCCAGCCCGACGGGATTCAGCCCGCCCAGAGACTGCCAGCTTCCAAGTCCCATTCTCCACCAATGGGACAGGCGAGGAGAGGGTCCAGCTTACCCAGAGTTTGCTAAGGTCCCGATACTAGGACGGCCTCCATCCACGCAAGAGGAAAGCCACCAGGATATTGGACCTGCTCCCACCCACTGGAAAGGGGTCACATACCCATCAGGGGAGGAAGAGACTCCTTCTGCATCCACAGGAAGAAATGATGGGAAGGAGACAATACAAAAACACACCCACCAACAGAAAAACCAATATGACACCACCAGAAACTGGAGAATCTACACCCGCAAGACCTGAACAGTCCATTGCAGAAGAAGCAGATGAGAAAGACCTTAAAAACAACTTCATGAAAATGATAGAGGCCCTCAGAAGATATGAGAAAATCCCTTAAAAACATGGAAGAAAAAAACAAACCAAAAAATACAAGAAATGGAGGAAAAAACAATCCAAAAAATGCAAGAATTGGAAGAAAAGACAAACCAAAAACTTCCAATAAATGCAAGAAAGAGAGGAAAAGACAAAGCAAAAATTACAAGAAACAATTCAAAAAGTACAAGGGTTGAAAGCTGAAATAGAGACAATTAAAAAAAATACCGTCTGAAGGAATGCTGGAAATAGAAAAGCTGGGCAAACAGTCAGGTACTACAGATACAAGCATAACCAACAGAATACAAGAGATGGAAGAAAGAATCTCAGGTGTTGAAGATACACTAGGGGAAATAGATTCATCAACCAAAGAAAATCTTTTTTTTTTAAAGATTTATTTATTTATTATGAATACAACATCCTGCCTCCATGTACGTCTGCAGGCCAGAAGAGGGCACCAGATCTCATTACAGATGGTTGTGAGCCACCATGTGGTTGCTGGGAATTGAACTCAGGACCTCTGGAAGAGCAGCCACTGCTCTTTAACCTCTGAGCTATCTCTCCAGCCCAACCAAAGAAAATCTTAAGTCCAACAAATCCCTAACACAAAATATCCAGGAAATATGGGACACCATGAAAAGACCAAACCTAAGAATAATAGGTATAAGAAGAAGGTGAAGAAATCTACCTCAAAGGGGCAGAAAACATATTCAACAAAATCATAGAAGAAAACTTTCCCAACTTAAAGAAAGACATGCCAATGAAAGTACAAGAAGCCTACAGAGCACCAAATAGAGTGGACCACAAAAGGAAATCCCCCTCGCCACATAATAGTAAAAACCACCGAACATACAGAACAAAGAAAGAATATTAAGAGCAGGAAAAGGAAAAAGGCCAAGTAACATACAAAGGCAAACCTATCAGAATCGCACCTGACTTCTCCATGGAAACTCTGAAAGCCAGAAGGTCCTGGATAGATATTCTACCAACACTAAGAGACCACAGATGCCAACCCAGACTGCTATACCAAGCAAAGCTTTCAATCACTATAGATGGAGAAAACAAGATATTCCATGACCAAACCAGATTTAAACAATACGTATCCACTAATCAAACCCTACAAAAAGTTCTGGAAGGAAAACCCCAACCCAAGGGAGTTAATTACAGCCAGAAAAACATAGACAATATATAATCCCACCTTACTAACAGCCAAAAGAAAAAAGGTGGAAATCCACATATAATTCCACCACCATCAACTATTTCAAAACAAACAAGAATGAGCAATCAATATTAATGGTCTTAACTTGCCCATAACGAGACACAGGCTAACAGAATGGATTCGAAGACAGAACCCATCCTTCTGATGCATACAAGAAACACACCTCAGCCTCAAAAACAGACATTACCTCAGAGTTAAGGTTTGGGAAAAGATTTTCCAATCAAATGGACCCAAGAAACAAGCGGGGGTAGCAATCCTAATATCTAACAATTTGTATTTCAAAATAAAATCAATCAAAAAAGATGAAGGAGGGCACTTCATACTCATCACAGGAGAAATCCACCAAGATGAAGTTTCAATTTTGAACATCTATGTCCCAAATATAAAGGCACCCACGTTCAAAAAAGAAACATTACTAAAACTCAAATCACATATGAAGTCCCATACACTTATAGTGGGAGACTTCAACCTCTAGACAGGACTACCAGACAGAAACTTAACAAAGAAGCAAAGGAACTAATAGAAGTTATGACCCAATTGGGATTAACAGACATCTATAAAACATTTCACCCAAATAAAAAAGAATATACCTTCTTCTCAGCGCCACATGGAACCTTCTAAAAAATCGACCACATACTTGGCAACATATCAAACCTCAATAGGTACAAAAAAATTGGAATAACTCCATGCACCTTATCAGACCACCATGCGTTAAAATTAGAATTCAACAACAACACAAATTGCAGACACCCTACAAAATCATGGAAGTTGAATAATGCACAATTGCACCATTCCTGGGTCAATGAAGAAATAAAAAAAGAAATTAAAGACTTCCTAGAATTCAATGAGAATGACGGCACAATATACCCAAACTTATGGGACACTTTGAAAGCAGTGCTACAAGGGAAGTTCATAGCACTAAGTGCCCACATGAAGAAACTAGAGGATAGTTACACTAGAGAATTAGCAGCACAACTGAAAGCTCTAGAACACAAACAAGCAAATTCACCCAGAAGGAGTAGATGCCAGGAAATAATCAAATTGAGGGCTGAAATCAATAAATCAGAGGCTAGGAAAACAATACAAAAAAAAAATCAATGTAAGGAAGAGTTGGTTCTTTGAGAAAATCAACAAGATAGATAAACCTTTATCCAAACTTACCAAATGACAGAGTGTAAACATGCAAATTAACAAAATCACAAATGAAAAGGGGGACATAACAACGGACACTGAGGAAATCCAGAGAATCATCAGGTTATACTTTGAAAACCTGTATTCCACACAATTTGAAAATCTAAAGGAAATGGACAATTTTCTGGATAGATATCACTTTCCAAAATTAAATCAAGAACAGATAAGCAATTTAAATAGACCTATAACCTCTAAGGAAATAGAAGCAGTCAATCAAAAGTCTCCCAACTAAAAAAAGCCCAGGGCCAGATGGCCTCAGTGCAGAATTCTACCAGAAATTCAAA